GCTGGCTCTTCGGCTTCCCCGAGCTCCTCGTGCCGCCGCCGTCATAGAGGTCGTACATCGGCGTGCGGCAGCGGGTATGGGGGACGTGGATAGCCGAGATCATGGACAAGCACACCCACAAGAAGCTTTCGCTTGGTTCCTTCCACTTAGCCAAATAGGCTGCCCACGAATACGACACTTGGTCGGTCCGGCTGCACGGCGTCAACGGCCACAAGAACTTTGAGTTCAGTGGTCTCTGCGTGGGAGAGGAGGGAGGGCCAAGAGGCGAGGGAAAGGTTGGCGGCGGAGGCCTCCGACAAGGCGTACATGGCAGAGCTCCACCGCCTCTACCCAGAATAAGCGGAATATTATGAATCGGTGTCGAATTTCGGTTTGTATATTTGTTTGAATCGAATTTGCGTTTATCAATACCCAAATTTTACTCCGTTAAATTTACGAGATCAGCTAGAAACGGGCAAAATTTAGAGCAGTAAAATTACTCCAGTAACGTATACTTTGCGGTTTAGTTCTTCATCTTCATTTTCTAGGATCGGCTAGAGATGCTCTTAAGAATGGAGAAACTATTCATATCACTCTGAGAACATTAATTGGATTTTGTACACATAACCGAGAACTTGCCGTGATGCATGTGTATCAGTATATGTGTAGTGCTCAGGAGTCACCCCAGGCATAAAAACTGAAGACCGAAGACCGAAACCGAAAAGACCGAGACCGAACCTGAAAAGACCGAACTAAAAAAGACCGAATAAAATACGGTATGCATAAGTAGAAGACCGAATTAGTTACGGTCTGATCGGTTCTCTAGGACCGAATAGACCATATAGACCGAATAGCCCATACGCAAGAGGCCCATGTGGCCAGCCCAATGGTCACACACAACACGAGTACGCGTCCTCCTCCTCACATCACGGTTCACAGGAACGCATCCGGCAGCCAATTCACTCCCATTTCTCTTATCCTCTCCCACTAGGAACCCTAGCCGCCGCCCGTCGCCCACCCGACGCCCCATGCCCATGAGATGTGAGCCGGTGATGGCCGCCGCATCGAGGCGTGCGGCGTGCCCATGCCGACGAAGATCGGCGCCCCGAGCCCCGACCCCAACCAGTGGAGACCGGCGCCCCATGCCGCCGTCCTCGACCCTCCGTCAGTCGCTCCACTGCCCACGACACGGCCGTCCGCCGCCGGTGACGACCGCCGCATCGAGGCGCGCGGCGCGCCCCTGACCGATGAAGATCAACACCTCGAGCCAAGGCCCCAACCAGTTGAGACTGGCGCCCCAACCAGTTCAAAAAGTTGGTTGATTTTTATCATTGTCAAATTGTATTGTTGCTATCTGCTCTAATAGCGAGTATCTTTTTTCTCTTTTGTAGATATATAGCCAAATCTGAATCTGAACATCATGATGCACACATAGTAATTTGTTTGATTGTTTGTTCCTCATCTTGTAGTAATCTTCAAAACTGTACTAGGTACTGATTGCATTTGTCATCAACCAAACACACTCCACTCCAGCACTCTCCTCGCATGCTAGAAATCAACCAACTTTTCCATGAACTAGCAGAAGATGTTACCAACACTAAGATTATGAAATTTTACTGAATACTTGACTTGTTGCAGAGACAATTGAAGAATTTGGGGACAAGGTGAAGGGAAAGCACAAGGTCCATGGTGGTGCCGAAATTGATTTGTTTGATGTCAAGTACTATGTTATCAACTACTAAGTGATGGTTGTCTGCTGTTTGCTGCTTGTCGATTCCAATATTCCATGGGCTGTTGTTGCTTGTGATCTTATTACTTTCTGTCAAATATAAATGGTGTTGCTTGTTGTCTTCTCACTTTTTGTCAAATGTAAATGTTGTTGCTTTTTAACTTCTTACTTTCTGTCAAATATAAATGATATGCATACATGAATCTTGTTGCTGGAACATAAATCATGAATCTTCTTACTTCGTGTCAGATATGAATCTTGTTATTTCCTGTAAAATATAGACATAGAATTGTACTGGAAGTATCATGAATCTGAGTTGTACTAATTAATTTGGTCTGTTTGGTCGGGACCGAAGACCGAATAGTTAAGAACCGAAAAGACCGAAATTATTTCGGTCCTCAATTATGGAAGACCGAATTATTAGAAGACCGAAAAGACCGGACCGAACAAACCGAAAAGACCGAACGCCCGGGCTGACTCAGGAGAGTCCTCAACTCCTCATCAGATCCTGCCTGACTTGGCCTGCACCTTGATATGCATGGTGGAGTTGTAGTGCACCTCCTCCGGCCGTACCGTCTGCAGCGACAACACCTCCGACTGCAGGTAGCAGAACCCGTCGCCGGCGTCCGGGCCGTAGTAGAACTGCGCCGCGGCGCACGCGCAGTCGTCCAGGCACGCCTCTTCGCTCACCCTCTCCACGGCGTGCAGGCTCGTTGCATGGTCGTTGAAGTAGCCCGTGCCCGGCAGCGACACCAGCCGGTGCTGCGCGCGCCGCCCCGGCGATGATGAGCCGCATGACGTCGGCGGTGGATTCGTCGGGACGCAGCCGCGGTTGGGCCTCCGGAAGTTGGCCGCGTCGGGGCAGCTGCACTGCGTGTCGTCCGTGCACACGCCGTACGCGCCGCAGACGGTTGGGTACGCGCACCCGCCGTCCGGGAAGAGGCGCAGCACGTCGAACACCGGCGCCCAGCCCGAGCCGGAGCGCCACTCGTAGAGCCGAAGGTGGCCGTCGTGCTCCAGCCTCATGTACTGCACCGTGCCGGTGCCGACGGTGGGCAGCTGGATGGTGGCCAGGGCTGGCGCTCCGGGCCGGGCGGACACAGTGAGGCTGCCGTTGGTGTACGTCGCGTAGGCGCCGGCCGCGGTCTCGCCGAAGCCGAGGTGGTAGTAGCGCTGAGGCGGCGTGGCATTGATGTATGCGCTCAGGGCGTCGTCCTCGACGGCGAGGTAGAGCCTGCCGTCGCGCAAGTCAGCCGTTGACGTGTTGGCGGTGAGCCGCGCGCCGTGCTTGAGCGACTGCCCGACGAGCAGCGCGTCCGCGAGGTGGTCGAACGACTGCCACACGGTGGCGTTGCGCCCGTCGAGCAGCACGAGGTTGCCGTCGCTGCCGATGGTCACCCCGGCGACGGACCGGCCCTTGGTGCCGGCGAACCACACCGCCGAGCCGTTGGCGGACCTGAGTACCAGGTCGCCCTCGGCCGTGAGCTCCGCGGCGGCGCCCTCGCCCACGGGGCTGGCGCGGTTGGCCGACCAGACGACCTGCGGGACGCCGGTCGTGGTGGACGTGATGAGCGCACCGCTGTTGCAGTACACGACGGCGACGCCGAGGAGGAAGTCGGCGTGCAGAAGAAGCCGAAGGCGTAGGAGGGGCCGAAGCCGGCCGGGTTGAGCCGCAGCAGGGCCACGCGCGCCACGGAGCCGTCGATGTAGGTCACGTGGTGCGGCAGGCCGGCGTCCGTGTTGGCCCAGGTCGTGGCGAGCCTCGCCGCGGGGTAGTCAAACCGCTGCTGCTGCTGCGCTCGAGCCCCGCCGCCGGCGAGGAGGCAGCCGATCAGCGCGACGACGCCGACAATCGTAGCACGGTGCATCATCGTCGTGGGCTGTGTGTGCATCATCGTGATGTGATGAGATAGTGGATCGAGCACTGTGGTGCAAGAACGATCGATGGAGCGTGGTTTTTTGTACTATAAGCGATCGGTGGATGGGTGGATCGCGGCGACCAGGACGCGGATCGGGATCGGTATGGAAAGGAAGCATGTTGAATTCCGGTGTGGAAGTCGTCGTCGCGGGATGGCGCCGCCGCGTGCCATTGGTTGGCGACCCGTCAGCGCGCGCATGTACGTACGTACACGCAACGTGGCGGCGCCGACGAGTTGTGGCGGTGACTACTACTAGCTGATTGCCCACTGGATGCATGTGCAGGATGGATGCCCACGTAGTGATTTTGTATTTTGTGTCCAAAATTAACCATGTCCTCCCTCCGTTCCTAAATGTAAGTCTTTGTAGAAATTCTACTACGAACTATATACATATGTATATAGATGCATTTTAAGTGTGGATTCATTCATTTTGCTCCGTATGTAGTCCATCCAGTGGAATCTCTATAAAGACTTACATTTAGGAACGGAGGGAGTATGTAATTAAATATATACTCCCTCTGTCTAAAATAAGGGTCTCACTCGTAAAAAATAAAATAAAAATTATATTAACTTTAATACAAAGTTGTACTAAGTTTTAGACACTTATTTTAAAGGGCAGTACTCTGCGTCGGCGCACCGGCGGAACGTTTCGGCCGGTCAAACCAGAGCCGCTCGATCTGGACGCGCGTAACCGTCAGATCAGCCCCGCATCTTCTATCGTCATCCTCCCCCATGGGAAAAAAGAGGAGAAAAAAAGCAAGCGCCGCCGCCGCTCGCGGGATCCCGCACGATGGCTTGCGCTGCTCTCGCTTGGACCACCGTTGCCCCTGCTCGTCGCCGGTGCTCGCAGCCTCACCGACGCCCGCGAACCAAAACACCACCCGCCTTCACCGCCGGTTCCAGCAAATTTTTAGGATGGTTCCAGCAAAAACAAAACAAAAACAAAGAGTGGTAGCAAAAACTCCTGATGCTTTCAGGAAGACTATGGTAGTAGCAAAAACTCCGATGGTAGCAAATGGCATCTCCGATAGTAGCAAAAATCTGAGATGGTTGTAGCAAAAAAAAGCCATCACCCCCGTTGAGCAACACCGCCGTGGTTGGATGTAGCAAAAATTATTTTCAGTTCCAGCAAAATCAAAATGTGGTTGTAGCAAAAAAGACAGGAAAAACAGAAGATGGATGTAGCAAAAATCGAACAACACCGGTAGTAACAAAAAATTGAAACGGTTGTAGCAAAATGGTTCATCGGTTGCAGCAAAAATCACCCGGTAGCAAAATTTTGGGCGGGTGGGTGGTAGCAAAAATTAATGGTGGTTCCAGCAAAAAAAGTAGCTGGTTCCAGTATAGTTTTCCTATTTTAAATGTTTTCCTATGTTAAATGTTTTCCTATTTTAAAACGGACGGAGTATAAAGTATATGCTACACAAAGTATGTTGTTGGATTTGTATTTAAAGAAGGTTTTCTACAGTATAGTTTTCATAATCTATATTTTATATTTTATTAGTTAAATTACTGGTCAAACTTTGGCTAAAAATGAAAAGAGCCTTATAAACTCGGGCGGAGGAAGTACTGTTCTTCGCTAAGCACGGTGAACACGTTGAGTCATTGGGTGCATGTTAATCCACGCACTTATCGTGCGGAAAAGAAGATCCCACAAAGCAAACACTCTCTCCTCCACCGACCGCCGCTGTTTCAGGCGCCTGTTGTTATAACTCTTTACGCAAATGCCTCAAGCGCACCACACCTACGCAGCTGGGCCGGCCCATATATCTCCTGCCTTTTTTGTTAAAACATTCAAAAGAGATGCACCGTCGGAGTTCAAACTCACGATCACTTTCTTCGACGCCAATGACAGTAACAATTATGCCATGGAACAACTATTGCTTTCTAACTTGTGTTGTATTGTTCTCTTCAGCAGCGGGAATTCTTCGGTTTTGGTCCCGGTTCGCTGGTCATTTCCAAAGTGTTTTTCTTTTTCTTTTTCTTCTTCTTCTTCTTCTTCTTTTCTTTTTGTTCTTTCTTTTCGAGAGTACTCTTTTATTTATTTTTAAAATGCAAGTTTTTAAAATTAGTTTTTTTTTCAAAATCATGAATTTTCCATCTTTTTGCATTTTTAAAAAAAATCGATGAACTACTCAAAATATATGATTTTTTAAAAAAATTGATGACTTTTTACTAAATTGATGAATTGTTTTCCACAATTGATCATTTTTTCAAATTTGATAAACTTTTTTTATAATTTGATGAACATTTGTTCAAATTCAATGATTTGTTTTCAATTTCGATGAACTTTGATCAAATTCTATGAACTATTTTTCATGTTTGATGAACTTTTTTCAAATTTGATGATTTTTTTTCAAATTCAATGACCTTTTCCATATACAATGAACTTTATTTGATTTTTTTTGAAAATTTCATACACATTTTCGAAATCTTGATATTTTAAGTTTTTTTCGTATTTTTTCAATTTTTTGTAAGTCAACTATGTCCTGTTAGCAAACGATCAAACACCGAAACGACGTAAGGGAACACGGCCCCGTTTTGGGCCGGGCCCAAGAGCGTGGTTGCGTGTGCACCAAAACCCCTACTTGGTGCCAAAGGCGCTGACTAGGAGTTGCCGACGCTAACAATGTCTAACATTACAGATTAGAAAAGAGGCCCAGTTATCACGTACGTGAAATAAAACCCAAGCGCTCAGTACATTTGTTTACATTGATGTCATAAGAGTGCAAAGCTCATTTTACTGGTTTCGGTATCTACTGCTGGAGCATCCACAACTCATTTTACTGGTTTCGGTATCTACTGCTAGAACAAGATCAATCTTGAATACATTTAAACATGCTTAAATTTCAACCTTCCGAATGAGTGAAATATGTTTTCAAAAATACGTGGAATAACCTTTTTGAATTTAGTCAAACCAATTTTTTGTAATGAGTGAAATTTGTTTTTCATGCATGTGAAACATATTTTAGTGTGAAATATGTGAAACTTATTATTCACAAAAATGTGAAACTAGTTACTTATACACAATGTGAAGCTGATTAGTTCAAATTAGTTTTAAAATGACAATGTTTTGAAATAAGTAAAAAACGAAGGCCATGACACCGTTGGCCGGGATGCGATTACATCATGTGAAACGAGTGAAATTGTTTTGTTAAATGATAGTTTTTTTAAATATATGAAATTGGTACTCCGTCCGTAAACTAATATAAGAGCGTTTAGAATACTAAAATACAGGGGGAGTATTTTTCAAATATGTGAAACATATTTTAGTCTGCAACGCGCGCATCTGCATCTAGTACAACTCAAAGAAGATGTATTAGACATCCCTCACTGGGAGTATCTTGCCGTGATGACTTAACCAGACATATAATAATTAATGTCAATCCATGAAGCGCGTATATCATATAAAAGCATCAAAAAAGTTCCGCAAGCTATATCATGCCCAGCCATTATTCGAAGAAAAATAACCTGGCAGTACCATTTTTTCAAAACCATAGTAAATGAAAACCTCAGTATTCGAATGCATGGGCAGTGAATACTTTAGTTTTTAGAAACCACCGTTTCTCTCAGTTTTAGTAACACCTTGTGGGCGTTTGGCAAGCATAGTTTTTTCTCACTTTCCCTGGGTTGACCGCTGAACCAAACCCAACTACCCTGAACGAATTACAACGACCTGATCAAGCTTGTTCTAAGGCAGATGCATGCATGTAGTCCCCTCCTAGATGCTAGGATTTATAGATAAGAGTTATCTCTACTCATCTCTTGTATCTCTGGCCGCATAGAATTGATTGGTCTACGACTGCTCCAATGATCGATCGATCTACTTGCACTAGTAGAAAAGGGGGCAATGGCCCAGACCAGTTCAGCCCATTAGTCCCGGTTCAATCCAGAACCGGGACCAATGGAGCTATTTGCCCCGGTTCGTGAGCCCAGGGGGCCGGCCGGGCCACGTGGGCCATTGGTCCCGGTTCGTCCAGACCTTTTGGTTCCGGTTGGTGGGACGAACCGGGATCAATGGGCCTGGCTCCTGGCCCACCACTATTGGTCCCGGTTGGTGGCATGAATCGGGACCAATGGCTACCCGTTAGTCCCAGTTCATGCCACGAACCGGACCAATAGTGCTGCCTATATATACCCCCTCGCTCGCGAGCAGAGCACTCCAGTGCTTTGTTTTTCTCTTGCCGGCGAGGGGGGGCTTTGTGGTGCTCTAGCTCACCTCCATAGCACATGAGGTGTTCGATGAAATGCCCGAGCCACACTACTTAAGCTTTCTCCTCTCCAAGCTCGACCTCCAACCTCTATTTTCCTCAATATTTGTCTAGGTTTAGCGGTCCATCACGCCCCGTCCCCGTCTTCACCGCCATCGATCACCCGCGCCGATCTCATCGCCAGCACCACCGTGTTGAGCCTCTTGTTCTTATCTTCTTTCTGAAAGGAAAATTATTCTTACTTGTATTATTTTCTTACTTTTATTATTGCATCTTATATAGTGCGATGGTTTTGGTATCCGCCCCCGTCGGCCCTCGTCCTGTCTATGATTCGGATGTGGTATATATTATCTTTTCATAACTATTGGTTCATTTATTGTTTATGAAAATATGCCGACCAACGTGACATAGATTTATTTATCTAGGAGGTTGTTGAACTGGAAATTCCAACCGACCCTATTGTCGAGAGGTTAAATTTAGTTGAAGAAGAAAACAATTTCTTGAAGGAAAAAATAAAAAAACTTGAGGAGGAGAAGATGATATTGGAGTTGCATGTTGCGGATGTCGTCGATGATCACAATGATCAAGATGGATGCAATGCGCTTGAAGATGAGAAAGATTAGAAAATATGTCATTCATACCGAGGCTTGGTATCATTATGCCGTTGGATCAGTTGTTACCTTGGTTGCGATTATGATCGCATTTGTTTTCGCACTGAAATGTTTTACATAGTTTCAATGT